GGTCTTACCCAGGCTGGTCTGGAATTCGGGGTTCAAGTGATCCTCCCACCTCAGGCTCCCAAGTAGCTGTGACTACCTGTGCATACCACCATATCTGGCTTTTTTTTAAAAAACGGTTTCACTTTTGTCACCCAGGCTGGAGTGCAGTGGCGCGGTTGAGCTCAGTTCACTGCAGCCTCCGTCTCCCCCGGGTTCAAGTGATTCTCTTGCCTCAGCCGTCCAAGTAGCTGGGATTATAGGTGTGCGCCACCACACCCGGCTAATTTTTGTATTTTTAGTAGAGACGGGGTTTCACCATGTTAGCCAGGCTAGTCTCGATCTCCTGATCTCAGGTGATCTGCCTGCCTCACCCTTCTAAAGTGCTGGGATTACAGGCGTGAGCCACTGCACCCGGCTAGTATTCGGCTCTAAGTTTTGTTTTTCATTTGTAATGTAAGCTCCCTGGCTTCCTGGAGCTTACATTACAAATAACTAGGCAATTACCAGACAGAACAGGTGCCAGGGAGGGTGGGACAATGTCTGCAAAAGCATCCCGCCGTCCAGGGGGAGACCAGATGTCCAGGAAGCAACCTCCCAGCTGCCTAGGAGGGTTTCTCGAATTACCTTCTTATCTGGCGACCCCAGTCCCCATCCAGCCGGTCTTGCAGGGCTGCAAGTAGGGTCTCAGGCCTTCTGGTTTCCAGGCCCTGTGTGTGTTCCCAGTCCACTGGGCAGGATAGACTGATGCTGGTCCTCAGCGCAGGCATGGTGCAGACAGCAAGCACAAAAAGTGCCTGGGCCCTCTCTGCAGTACTCAGACCCCAAAAATCCTTAGCTCTGAACCCCTGAGACATGCCCTGGTTCCTGTGCCCAGGACAAACAGATGTGAAACTCTGGAAGTGAGTGCAGGGAGGAGCCGCCTTCCGCGTGCGGCCATGACGTCCGAGGTCCAAGCCCTGTGGGCACCGCCTCCTTCTGCGGCTCTTTGTGGCCTTGGTGTAGCACACCTGGTGAGGTCAGCACTGTCCAGCCACCCCTTTCTTCTCGGGGTGAGGGGGAGGGAGGGTGTTCTCTGTGATGTAAGGGTTTAGAGCGCTTTTAAAGTACTAATTGGGGCCAGGCGTCGTGGCTCACACTTTGGGTTGCTTGTAATCCCAACTCTTCGGGGTGCTTGAGGCCTGGGACTTCAAGACCAGCCTGGGCAATGTAGTGAGACTCCCACCATCTCTAAAAAAACAAGAAAACAGATAATCACTCGTTTTACTTTTTTAGGATTCCCAGTCTCTTTGAAAGCGGTTAACAGTCATAAATTTACAAAATTTCAAAGCCTAGCACAGTGGCACACCTGTGATCCCAGCTGCTTGGAAGGCTAAGGTGGGAGAATCGCTTGATTGAGCCGATGCATTGGAGACAAGCCTGGGCAACATAGCAAAACCCCATCACTGTGAAAAGTAAGTAAATTATGAAAATCCAACTGAATTTTGACTGCCAAGCCTGGCACTTTTTTATGTAAAACTATTTCTTTAAAAAAAAACTTTGGTTCAATTCATTTACCTCAGAGAACAAAAAAGAAAAAAATTAAAATTAAAAAAACACACACCCACATAAAAGATCCATCAGACAAACCCATCACCTAAAAATTATAAAGTAATGAATATCTCAAAAAAAGAAAAGATAAAGTAATGAATATCTAAAGCATAAAGAGATGCTTCCTTAGCTGCCTGATGCCTCAACCCACTGTGCAGAGTACCCAGAGCCATAGCAGGAGCCCCTCCAGTGCAGCCTCCTCAGAGCGTCCCTGCAGTGCTGGAGCCACTCAGATACATCCATGTTAGTGCACTAGTGGGACAACTTCGTCATATTTAAAACATGGAGACTGGGCAATATGGCGAAACCCCATCTCTACTAAAAATACAAAAATCAGCTGAGCATGGGGTGTACACCTTTAGTCCCAGCTACTTGGGAGGCTGAGGCAGGAGGATCACCTGAGCCTTAGGAGGTTGAGACTACAGTGAGCCAAAATTGTGCCACTGCACTCCAGCTTGGGTGACAGAGTGAGACTCTGTCCCCCCCACCCCCTAAAAAAGGAGCCTAAATGCCCATCTACAGGAAATGAGTTAAATTCATTCGAAATTCATTAATTATGAAATTAGGTCCATCTGGATGATGACATGATTAATTTAACTCTTCAATTACAGAATAAAGAGGAACTCTGCGGCCAGTCGTGGTGGCTCACGCTTGTAATCCTAGCCCTTTGGGAGGCTGAGGCAGGTGGATCCCCTGAGATCAGGAGTTCAAGACCAGCCTGGCCAACATGGTGAAACCCTGTCTCTACTAAAAAATACAAAAATCATCTGGGCATGGTGGTGGGTGCCTGTAATCCCAGCTACTTGGGAGGCTTAGGCAGGAGAATTGCTTGAACCTGGGAGGTAGAGGNGGTCTGTTGGGGGGATATAGGGGAGGGACAGCAGGGGGTGGGGAGATGGGGAGAGATAGCATGGGGAGAAATGCCAGATATAGGTGATGGGGAGGAAGGCAGCAAACCACACTGCCATGTGTGTACCTATGCAACAATCTTGCATGTTCTTCACATGTACCCCAAAACCTAAAATGCAATTTGAAAAGAGAGAGAGAGAAGGAGAGAGTGAGAAAGAAAAAAACACCTGCATTACTAATTTGAAGAAAAAAATGTCACCCACTTAATTCAAGTTAAAAAGAGAGGGCAAAAAGTGCAAACATTATAATAGACTTATGACAAGTTAATGAATTGGTCACATTAACCTCAAAATGCCACATTAGCTTTAAGAAAATATTACAGTATTTGCTGTGGTTTAACTCAGTAAAAAGATTTTTTTCTCAGCCGGGTGTGGTAGCTCACTCCTGTAATCTCAGTACTTTGGGAGGCTGAGGTGGGTGGATCACCTGAGGTCAGGAGTTCAAGACAAGCCTGGCCAATATGGTAAAATCCCATCTCTACTAAAACTACAAAAAAATTAGCCAGGCATGGTGGTGGGCACCTGTTATCCCAGCTACTTAAAAGGCTGAGGCAGGAGAATCACTTGACCCAGGAGGCAGAGGTTGCAGTGAGTCAAGATCGGGCCATTGCACTCCAGCTTGGACTCCATCTCAAAAAAAAAAAAAAAAAAAAAGAGTTCTGCATTCTCCCAGTGCTCAAGGCACCATGTCAGGCTACATTGTCATCAGGCTGGTAGGTGGGTGGCAGACAAATCCAGGCAGCACCCAGGAGCCCTCATGGCTCCCCTGCTCCAGCTTGGTGGCCACAGCCTGACGCCCCTTCCCTCAGGGCTGCGCCAGGCCTGTGGAAATCTTTGTGACCCAGGTTTCACTCATGGGCCAAGATACTCTGCACTTGCTCTCAGCAGGGACAGCGCTCCGTGCAGTGCCTGCAGCCTTCATACAGCTCAGCTCTTCTTTCTGGGAGCTAGGAAGCTGTCAGCTTAGCTCTCTGTGGGCAGGGTTTTTAAAATTCTGTTTGTCTGCAGTCAGAGCTAATGGTCCCAGCACACAAATCCCCACCTACAGGCCTGTCAAGGAGGCACAAGGCCCACACCCATCCCTCCAGGTGCCCTTGTGCAAGTGACAAGCACCCACAGCCTCAGGGGAGTCCTCACTCCCCGATCTCAACGTGTTGCTCTCTGCAGCGTTTAGCGCCCGCGATGCGCAATCCCTGGAGGAAGATAGCCTAGTGGGCTGCACGCCCAGCACCACTCAAGGCCATAGGTGCAAATGTGGAGTCTGGTCTTCACGGGCCCTGGAAAGGAGACCTTTCCATACCTGGGGTTTGGGAGCAGTGGGAGGCAGGTGTGGGGAGAGGTGAGCTAGCTTACACAGCCGGGCAGGGGAAGGGAGTAGAAGGCTGAGACACAAAGCGGGGCCAAGATGCAGTTCCTGTCCTGCAGGGTTCTCAGTGACCCCTGTACACTGAAGACTCCCTCTCCATCGGTGCTGTGCTGGGTCTGCTAGGTGAGGTCTCCAGTGCCCGAAGCCCTGTGTGCCAGGGCCAGGCCTACCCCAGAGCCCCACGCACCTTCCACGTCAGCCCCAGTGGTCGGAGGTCATGTCCTTCTCCAGGATATACAGCCGAAATTCCCACCTCCCCGAGCTCCAGCTTCCCTCCAGGCCAGTGTGGCTGATTTTGCCCACCCAGGAATACCCTGTGCAGAGGCCCCTCCAGGCAGGAGCCTGCCGGGCTGAGGAGGGCTTGTGAACTCCTGAGTGGCCCTACCTGCTGCCCCCAAGGAAGGTGGGCCCGAATACCATTACCCTGTGTTTTGAGCGGAAAATGTTCCAATAGGGCGTGACTCCAAGTAGTTTAAAAATACAAAGCAGAGGCCGGGCGCGGTGGCTCAAGCCTGTAATCCCAGCACTTTGGGAGGCCGAGGCGGGTGGATCACGAGGTCAAGAGATCGAGACCATCCTAGTCAACATGGTGAAACCCCGTCTCTACTAAAAATACAAAAAATTAGCTGGGCATGGTGGCGCATGCCTGTAATCCCAGCTACTCAGGAGGCTGAGGCAGG